GTGGTGTGGCAGCTGGGTACCCTCAGGAGCCTTGTCTTACAGTTACACTGCCTGAGTAAGCAGCAGCCTCTCCACTGACTCCTGCCCAGGAGAGGGATAGGTGGAGGTGAAGCTCCCAGGCTGTTTTCTGGCCTGGTGTTTTGAAGCCTCTATGTTAGTAGCGGAAAAAGCTTGAGCAATGAGTGTGCTGAGTCCTCCTGGGGCGGGGGCCTTCTCCGCTCCCTGCCACCTGCTCTTTTCTGTCTGGGGTGGTTGCAGAGGATGCCAGTGAAAGTCCGGGCTCTTTGCTTCCTGCTCCTGCCTGGAGAGAGTGCCTCTGAGTATGCTTCCCAGTGTGGTCATCATTTTATGGCCTCCATCTCCAGGACCCTTCCATGATCTTCAACAAATTCTTGCTTATTTCTCCATTAAAATATATATATACACACACACACAGAGAGAGAGAGAGAGAGCTGAGCCCAGTAGTGCACAGCTGTAATTCCAGCTACTTGAGAGGCTGAGGCAGGAGGATCACAAGCTCTTAGGTCAGCCTAGGCAAATTAGTGAGACCTTTGTTGCAGAATAAAAGTTTCAAACAGTATTGGGATTGTAGCTCCGTAGTAGAATCCCCCTGGGTTCTAGTCTCAGCACTGTAAAAAGAAGGAGAGAGGAATGGGGAAGGGGAAAGAAGAAGGAGGAGAAGGAGGAGAGAAAGAAAGAGAAGGAGTGGAAGAAGAAAGAGGAGAAGAAGAGGAAGAAAAGAGAGAGAAGAGGAGAAATAATAAAGATTAACACGTTACACCAAAAGTAAGGTTATACAGCATTTTTAGTAAGAACCAGCAGCTCCCTTCCTTTGTCAGGCCTCAGTTTACTCATCTGTAAAGTGGGTCAAATGTTCCCCACTCTCAGTTTATTGAGCAGTAAAGGTGCAACAGTGACAGGCCCTTGGCTGCCTTAGCAGAAAAGGTGCAGCTTTAAATTTTCCTCAATTGTACCTGTTTGAAGATAGCAGAAAGAAGGGTAACTGAAACCCACAGTAATGATTTCACTGTATTGCTCGCTAGCACAAAAACAGCAGAGACAGCAAAACCTTTTCCTGGTTTCTGAGAAAGAGGAGCCACGCCAGTTCTCTGCCCTGAGAATGGTATCAAGAGGAATGGCTGATTTCCCAGGTCTTCTTTGAAGAACCTTTTGGGATGTGTTTATGCTGGGCCTTACATCTGCTGACGCTTTATCTACCAGCACAGGGGACTGTGAGCTGTCGCATGTGTGTGGCAGTCTGTGGAGGTTAGCCTAGTCCTTGTTGGCAAGCGTACGATCCCCCACCCTTTTACAGCCTGCCCCCTGCACAGGGCCAGGGGCACTTCCTGCAGCTCTGTACAGCTGTGGGTTCAACCGGAACATTAAGAAATACCATGGTATCAAGCCCCAACAAGTTTCCCAGCTCCTCTTTTGTTCTAGGGACCAGCTTATCACATCCAGAAGGCAGCACAGCAAGCGAGGGACCTGAGCAGCATCTTTCTGCCCCTTTTATCTTATCCAGGCTACTCGGGGAGGGCAGCACTCACACCTTTAATCCTAGTACCCTTGAGCCTAGCATTGCACCATGCATCAGTCCCAGGGTCACACACATGCTAGATCCAGCCACCTCTGAAAAAGCCCCATCTATAACCACCTGAGGCTTTAGGGGGACTGCTAGACACAGCCGGAACACTTTGTTCCAGTGACCAGTCTCAGCTGGGGAAAGAACACTGACCACAATCCAAGTAGAAACAGATACTTCTCCAGTTCACATTGTTTTACCACCTTTGTTTATGTTTGGGTACTTCTTGCAGGCAGCAACAAACACCTCCAAGTGGCTGCAGGGAAACAGGTGTGCGGGATGGGCCTGACTTCAACAGAACATTCTGTTCCTCCTGGAAGGGTAACTGGCAGGATAGGCAATGTCTGGGGTACCACAGCGATAGCGTCATGCAATAGGCATAGTGTCTCGTAGCAATAAGGGAGGGGGTCACCCAGGGGCTGCAGCAGTGGCCCATAAGGCAAAGGGTGTACAGGGAAGTGGGGAGGATGGAGTGAGGCGATCTACGGAAGAGCTTCAGAACTTAGGGACTGTTTGAATGTGGGTGGAGGGAGAGGGAGTCGGAGCAGGCTTGGAGTTCTTGGGCGTGGGTGCCTAGGAAGTAATATCAGCAGCTGGAAAGCAAAATCAGGGGGTCGGATGTGTCAAAGAGGGTCATGCCTGTTTTAGACAGGTAGCGTGGCCATGTGATGCTTGTCTATGGGGTAGCAGCTCCGGCTTTGGGCATTGTCAACCCCACCCTCACCCACCACGCTCATCGTTTCTCCAGGTCTTGGGTCCACGACACTATAGCTTCTGAGTACAGGTCATGGTGCCTGGCAGGTCTCTGTGTCATGGGTGCATGGACAGTGATGCAGACTGGGTTCTGCAGAAGCTGATACAGAGACGAGGCTTGAGATGAGGGTCTGCCAATGGACAGGGAAGAGGAGACCTGAAGTACAGACAGAGGTCCAGGCACATCTCAGTCCAGAAGGCCCAGTAAATCTCAGCCAGCTCTGAGGGGAGTTTTGAAGCAAACGTTACCTGTCTGAGTGACTTGCACTGGGCCTGGGCCTAGGCCTGGGCTGGGCCTTCACTGCCGGCCTCACTCAGTGAATGGAATGAGCTACCTAGGAAGGACATGCCCTTGAGCAAGGTGGGACTGTACCACTAAGGAAGACCTGAGAGAAGCTGACAGCTAGACACAGCCTACTGACCCCATGGTCACTGGTGACTCCCTTTGGGGTTCACGGTAGGGCCATTGAGGGCTCTACACGGCGTTCTGATGTGTCTTGCCATTCTCCCGTCCTCAGCATTGGGAATAGACATGCTTCTCTGATGCGGATTTCTTAACTTTTGCTTGGTAGATTAGGAGTATCCTTTTCTTCTTGTTTTTTTTTTTTTTTTTTTTTTTTTTTTTTTTTTTTTTTTTTTTTTTTTTTTTTTTTTGAGACATGCTCTTTTTTTTTTTTTTTTTTTGAGACATGCTCTCGCTCTGCAGTTCAGGCTGGGCTTGATCTCACTTTGTAGCCTAGCCTGGTCTTGAACTCACAACAATCCTCCTGCCTCAGCCTCCTGAGTACTGGGATTATAGGTATGGGCCACCATGCTTGGTTAGATAAGAAGTATTTTAGCTTACTTTCTAGGTTAGGAAGTCTAAACAGGCTTTGAAAATACTCAGCCCAAGGAGCTTGCAGCAGGTGACGAAGTAACAACCTCCCTAAGCCTTGTCTTCTTCTGTCTTTTATTTTCCCTTCCCTTTGTATTCTCCCTTATTTTTTTTTTCTAGATTTGCACTCTTTTGTGTGGTTTTTATAAGCTCAAATATTTTCTGGAACAATACATTTAAATAAAAAATTAAATATGCTTTCTTTGGGGAGCTCCCTTTTATCTTAAGATTTGTCACTGTGTTTTCTGCTATGGAACCACTTCCCAGGGATGGGGTAGCTGTGGCTTCCAGGGTCCTTGAATGTGGCCTCCCCACCTGCAATAGAAATCATGGTCACATCTGGGAGCCACCAGAGGAGAGGTTAGAATGCTCCCAGAACCCAAGAGCAACTCAAATTGGTGATTGGTCATCAAAATTCAGGTCTTTCAAGAGTGTGGGGTTAGCGGCAGAATCTCAGACTTTCCCTAATTTTCTTGAGTAAAGGGCATGGCCAGGACCAGCCAGTCAGTCTGCCTTACCCCTTGTGGTCCAGACATGATGCCAACTTCTCCCCGGTTTTGCAAGGACACATCCTAGTTCTTCCAGGTATTTAAATATCCTCAGGTGGGTCAGGCTGGTCATAATTGCCTTCTCTTTGGTGTTCCACAAGCTAGGGCATTTTATTGTTGTTATCCTGCGGTCCCAAATGACCCTTGAAAGGCATTCTTTCCAAGCTGACACATCAAAGCAACTCCTACTGGTAGTAAGAATTTTCTCCAACTGCATGTCCTAGGGCTGAACAAGATCAGCACCAGGAAGATCTGAAAACCAGAGGTTTTCACCTTTCTGGGCAACTGTCATTTTGAAGCCAGGGCTTCCTAGGTGAAACTCCGATATCAAGAGTTCTGACTTTCCGTACTTGGCCCTGGAGATTCTGTACAAAAGGAATTACTCATTCCCAGGTGTGGAGAGGGCACATCACCAGGATCAGACAACACCCATCTCTACCACAGGGTGTCTATTATCCTTTGTCTTTGGGTTGTTTCAGATCACAGGTAAGGGAGCAAAGATAGCAATGAAATCCCTTGGAAATGACATGTAGAAAGCATGAATTAACCTCTCTCAGCTTCAATTTCCTCACCTGCCAAGGAGGGGGCGGGGATAATAACACCCACCCTGCAGAGTTGTATAAAGAGGTAAAGGAATTAGATAATAGAAAACACCTGGTACAGCACCTGCCCCGGGTCCCAGGGCTCCCTGGAGGGTAACTAGCTTGCCTGTAAGATGCAGGCAGTCCTTGGAACAGAGTCTTAAGGCTGCTTCTTCAGAGTGTAGCCCACAAATCGGTCCATCCGCATCACGCACCACTGGTACCTAGTTAGAAAAGCAATTATGGGCCATCCCCACCTACTGAATCAGAACCTGCAATTTAATGAGATTCTCTGGGTGACCCTATGCATGTTACAGTTTGAAAACCATCAGTTTAAGGAACAAGAATCTATGTTTGAATCTTGTGGATTTGATGGTATTTCTGTTGGCAACCCACAGACGGTCAATAAAGGAGTCTGTCAATCAGATTAAGTCAACATTGACCTAACACAGGTGATCCTGGGCCAAACCGGCTCTGCTGTAGCTCCAGCCAGTCCAAGGCTCCCTCTGCTCACTTGCTCTGTTCACCTGCCTCCCTCGGTCACCTGCTCAGTGGCCAAGGCTCCAGGGAGATTGCAGCTCCTTGTTTACTGGGCAGGCACAGATAAGGTTTCTCACAGCCCCACCTGAGCTCCTATGCCAAGGTAAACTTGCTCTCCAGAATCGCTCCTTGACTGGAAAATGTGTCAGTCTATTTATTTCTCACTCCCACTGGAAAAAAGGTGGGGTGGGGGGAAGGGCTGGTGATGATGTCATTCTTTCCACGGAACTTCTCAAAGGCATCGCATTTCATGGTGACTTCCAGGCACTGCTTGTGTTTCTCTGCACGGCACACACAGAATCAGCCCAAAGTGCAAGTTTCTCTTCCCTCTCCCACGGCTCTGCCCCCACCCCAACCTTTTGCCAGAGCTTTTACCTGGGGGAGGCGGTGCTGCCAGCAGCCCTAAAAAAGAACCTGGGCCAGCAGGTGTAGGAAAGTTTCCTTGATATTTCTCCTGGAGATGACCTCCTGCTAGGGAACGGTTGCTGGTTGGTGGGGACTGCGGGCAGGTGCTGGCCAGACACATCAGAGAAGCAGGAACAAAGGGTAAAGTGATCTTCCCAAAGGCCACACAGAGTCAGCCCCAGTTGCACCCACACAGTTCTGGTTTACCTTTCTCCGGAGCAGAGCTACCGCTTTCTAACTGGGCTCCAGCTCCCACAGGTAATGGGAGATGCTGTCAGGACAGACTTGGTTGTGTCGCAGCCAGAATCCCCCACCCGCGGATCTCAGTGGCTGAAAAACAAGTTTCCTTTCTCTCTCTTGCTGCTGTCCTGGGGTTGCATGGGTGTGGCACGCTTGCACAGGGACTGGGGAGGAGAGAGACTTAGTCTCTGGGCTGCCGTGTAGCCCAACCTTTTGTGCACCAGAAATGCAAGTCATGTCCAGCCACATTTCACTGGACAAAGCAAGTCTCCAGGCCAGTCATGACTTCAAAGTGGATGGGCAATGCAATCCTCTGCTTGGAAGACAGAGAGCCAGAATAGTCGGTGGGTAGCATTCATGATGGCCACATCAGCCTTAGGTAATATTAGCATATTACCTTATTTGCTTCATGTCTTTTTTACTTCAAAGAAAGTAAATATTAGAGATACAACTGAGGGGCGCCCCTCCCCCACATTCCTCTTCATCCCAGTTTCTTTCCTTATTTTGTAGAACTAAGCACTGTTTTGGATTCAGATGTTGATCATCCTTGTGCCTGTTTTTATGTTTTTACTACCTTTATGTACATTCATTGTAAAGTATTATGATGCAGGCTTTTTTGTTTGTTTGTTTTGCTTTTTTTTTTTGTTTTTTTTTTCCAGTACCTGGAATCGAACTCACGACCTTGCGCTTGCCAGGCAGGCATTGTGCAGCTGAGCTAAATCCCCAGCCCCTGATGCAGGCTTTTAAACTTTTCACACAAGTATGGTGTTGTGGTGCAGGCCTGTAATCCTAGCATTAAGAAGGCTGAGCTGAAGGATTGTGAGTTCAAGGCCAGCCTGGGCTACATAGTCAGTTCAAGGACAACATAGTAAGACCTTACTTCAAACACCAGAAGAAAACAAACAAAACCCCCACTTGTCATACAAAATATTATAAACTTTTATATTACTATATAATATAATATATAATCATATATAGAAAGTCAGGCATGATGGCACATACCTGTACTCCCAGCACTCAGGAGGCTGAGGCAGGAGTATCGTTACCAGCCTGGGCTACAAAGTGAGCTAAAGGACAGCCTAAACTGCATAACGAGACTCTGTCTCAGAAAGACAAAAAAAAAAATCATGTATAGAGTATTATTATCTTAACCAATATGCATTTCTCCTGTAGCATTACAATTGCTAGATTTTATCTCTGCTGACATATGCTGTTATATTCCATTGTATAATGATAATACAATTTTGTTATTTATGTGCCTGCTGATGGATATTTAGGTTGTTTCCAGTGTTGCAGGGAACATCTTCATACATGTTTTCTTGGCTCTGTGCCGAGGAGTGGAATTTCTGAACACAATCACTTTCAGCTTTACTAGTTATTGCCAAGTTGCTCTCCTGCGCGGTTGGATCACCTTACAACCCAGGAGTAATGAATGAGACTGTGATTTAACAGTCGTTTCCTAATACTTGGCACTCGCTGGCATACATTTTTGCTGATCTGGTGGGTGTGAATGGTATCTCGTTGTTGTTTTGATTTGTCTTTCTTTGATTGATAGTGAGAGTGTGCCTCTTGTTATACTTCACTGAACTTCAGGGGTTCTTCTATGAATTTATGTTCTTTTTCCATCAACGCCCCCATGTTGTCTTTTCTTCATAATTTGAGACTTTTTTATACTTTATATTTATTGTAAGCATCTTTTTCAGGCTATCTGACTTGTTTTTCACTTTGTTATAATAGGCTTTGTTGTGTAAAAGTGCATTTAACATAGTCAAAATTGCCAACTTTTTAATTTCTATTTTCTCTGTGTATATTTTATTGTTGTTGTTAGTGAATACTTATCTTAAGGTCATGAAGAATTTTTCTATATTTTGATCTTGTGTTTTAAAATTATGCTTTTTCTCCCCTTTTAGTTCTCTAATCCATCTGGGATTATTCAAAAGAGAAATCTACTTTTGTGTTTTCTGTATGGACAAAAGGTTTTCCTTGCACTTGTGTATGCAAGGAATTATCCTCCCCACGTTGATTTATAATATCATTTCTGCCCCATCCTGTTTCTAAACATGGGTGGGCATGGATGAACCCTATTCTGCTCTGTTAAGCTTTGCTGTGTCCAAACTGTGTTGTCTTCTTTACTAAATATTTTGCTAATAAATCTTGAGATCTGGTAGAGCCAGTTCTTCCACCTGGTACTTTTTAAAAATTGTTTCTCAGTTATTCTTGGCCCTTTGCTCTTCCAAGGGAATTTTGAGTGTCGTGTAAAACAGCACAAAACAGAAAACCCCATTGGACTTCCTTTGACCTTCTTTACGTAAATTTGAGAAGAACTAACCTCTTTGATTGTGAATCTTCCTTTTTATTACTTTCTTTTGGGTTTCTTTTGGGTGGCCTGTGCTTATGATTTACCAGACCTCCACAAAACTCCTAATTTCTTCCTCATTTCCCCATTCCAACCCTCTTACTTTGACTCAAACGTTACCTCTCATTTCTTAGTGTAGCTTCAGTATTTTTCCTTCTGCTACCATCCATCTCTTCAGAAGTCTTCCCATTCTTCCAACTCTTCTTGGTATGCGAACAGTAAAACTCAAACACTCACCATAATAATGATAGGAGGGGAAGAGAAAGAGAGTCTTGGTACTCTCCTGTGAGGAGATATGAAGGCATAATTACATATGGGGGGCTTTGGTGACTTTTTCTGAGCTCAAAACATAGTATGTGTCTGTAATGGTTAACATGTGCAGGGTGTAGTTTGCTGGATTTGAATTCTAACTCCATGATTTGCCAGCTCTGATCTTGGGCAAATTAAGTAACCCCTTTGTGTCTTAATTTCCCCTGTTGTAATAAGAACAGTGATTATCTTATATATAATTATGAGAAATTAGTGAGTGAATGTGTGTAAAGTACTTAGCACAGTGCCTGGCACATGGTAGGCACGTCTTATATGGCATCATTGTTATTACTGAGATAGGATATCAAAGGCACACTAAAAGTATGGTTAGTTTGAATGTTCCAACTGGGTAATGTCGGAATAACTCACTAATTTTAACACAAGATGAAGAGCTTTGTGGTACTATCCATGTAGTTGAAGGTTTAATCATTAGTGATCCCTTAGTGGTGCTAGTTTAGTGTTAACCATACTGCAAATTTCACCAAAACAAGTTCAGAGGTAAATGGTATTCAAGGTAATCCAGTCCAATTTCCCACCTCATGCTTGAAACTTCTCCATGTATATATAGCTTCTCTAGAAAAGGAAGATTTTAATGAGAGATCAGAAAGGTAGACATATTGAAAGGCCATCAGAGCTACTGAAGAGATGAAAATAGCATGAACTGGCTAATGGTCAAGGGCTGCTGGGAATAGCTGTGGAGAAGCTGAAGATGGGGCGTTCTTGGAGAGCTAAGAGCTGAGGTCCAGGAAAGAGAGACTAACTCAGGGGAAAATCTGGAGCTGGAAACCGTAGGGTATTCCTCAAGGGTCTCATTAATGCCAAGTGGGTTATTCAAAGGGCTCCAAACCTATCCCTGCTTCCCACCACCAGGCCACTAGGGGACCTGATGTTTCTATCACTGATACCTCCTTTGGGTTAAGACTTTGGATGCCTCTATTGAGAAGAAGTACTATATTCATAACTTCCAAGGACTGAGACCAGATCATCCAGGGGCCCCC